CTCCATCCCCCTTCCCTCACTTGCGGGGGTTGACGATATTGGGGTACTCCAGCGTCAGCTCCTGGGTGCCAAACAGGATGTTGTCCACGGACTCCACGCCCAGCATCAGGGAGTGGTCCTGGTTGGCCACCTCGTACTTGTAGGAGCCAAAGCGGCCGCGCGACCAGATGCCCGCGGCCTTGAGCTCGGGCAGCGCCTGCTTCAGCACCGCGTCGCGGCCCACCGAGGGCGTGGGGTACCCGTGCTCCAGCCTGGCAGTGGATGGGAGCGCGCCGTGTGCGAGAGGATGTGTGGTCGGCAGGAGACCCGTGACGAGCCAGCAGAGGGCTGCAGCGGCGGTCGGGTGCAGCGCCGCCTTCCATCTGTGGGGAGCATGGGCGCTGCTCCCTGCCTGCCACACACCACTACCCCCCCCAAACACACCCACCTGCGGTGGTAGATGGAGACAATCTCAGAGCCGGCCTCCACCAGCTTGGTGTTGATGGCGCCGATCAAGGTCTCGCGCACGATCTCGGGCCAGGTGCCTGCGGCGGGGTGGGCGGGGAGGGTGGGCTCGGGTGGGAGGGCCATTGAGTGGGGAGTGGAGTCCGCTCACAGTCAGCAGCCGTCACCGCATGCACTGCGGTCTTCGAAGGGGGTTGCCAGACTGCCCCTCCCTGCCCTGCAGGCTCAGCCAAATGCCCATCCTCCATCGCACACACTCCTCAAGTGCACAGGGGACAGGAGGCGAGCTGCTGCGAGGCAGACTGAGTACCGAGAGGATCACCCAAGACCTCCCCTTGTCACGGGGATCTCTCCCCCCCTTTCACACCCACGCCCCCTCCCCACACCTGCGCTGCCGCCCAGCTTGGTGTCCTTCATGCTGACGGGCTTGTACTGGGACTCGCTGATCTCGAACATGAGCGACCAGTAGGGCCCCTCGGTGGCCTCGCCCGAGGCAGGGTCCTCGCCGTTGGCCAGGCACAGCGTGGGCAGCTTGGAACCGCCCTCCGGGCAGTTCTTGGCCGCGTAGTGGGAGAAGACGGTGGTGCGGTAGAAAGGGCAGTCGTCCTCGGGGAAATAGAGCCAGCACTTGAGGCCGTGGGGGCACTTGCCGCGGATGCCTGCGGAGCAGATTTGGGTTCGGAGCGAGTGTGGGATGATGGACGGGGGGGACGCAGCAGCGGCCCCCACGCCTGATTGCGGGGCGGCCTCCCCAGGGGAGAAGGATTCCTCGTGGCGAGGTTGGCACCTCATGGACACATGCTTGGGCCCCCCCCTGCAGAGGATTGCTCCAGTGACGGGGAGGCTTCTCACACACCTGCCCATGCCTGCGGCCCCCTTCCACCCCTCCAAAGGCCCCCCCCCCACACACACAGAATCAGAGACACAAGCACGCCCACTCACCGATGCCCACGATGTGGGTGGAGGAGTACTGCAGGCCCTTGGCCAGGTCATCGCGGCCCAGCCAGCCCAGGGAGATGTCCAGCGGGATGGTGCTGATCAGCGTGTCGTAGGCCAGCTTGCGCCCGTCCCGGAAGGTCACCGTCTTGGCCGCCTTGTCGATGCTGGTCACAGTCTGGGCGGGACCGTAGCGTTGACGCTCCGCGGGCAGGAGCGCGGCCACGGCCTTCCAGATGCCGCCCGTGCCGCCCTCGGTGGGGAAGCGGAAGACGGCGTTGGGCCCCCACCCCGCGTCCTCCTTGTTGTGGATGACGTTGTTGATGGCGCGCTCCACGTCCACCGTGGCCACACGCTCACCCAGCCACTCGCACTGCATGAGCGTGGTGGGCACCGCCCAGACCTTGAAGTTGTAGGGGCGCATGAACAGGTCGGCGATGCCGGGGCCCATGACGCGTAGGATCCACTCGTCGAAGTTGGCGGGCTTGCCCTGGGCCACCGCGTTGGCCACCTTGGCCTCCACGCAGCCAGCCAGGCACCGGATCTGGTCCTCCTTGTCCAGGGCGGAGATGTTATTCTGGAAGGGGTAGGCCACCCACCGGTTTTTCAGCCAGACGTAGGACACGCGCTCCAGTGTGTTCCAGGCGTCCTTGCCGCTGCCCACAGCTGGGAGAGGGGTGGGGGGAAGGCGGGGGGGTGGGGGGATGTGGTTGGGGGAAAGGGAGGGAGGGGTGGGGGAGGGGGTGGGGGAGGGGGAGAAGCATTGAAAGGCATTTAATGAAAGACCATGAGCACAGGAGGTCACGCAACATGGGTGAGCAGGCACTCTGACAGAGCCCTGCGTAGACGAGGCAGGGCAGCCCGCCTGCCGAGGCGCATGCCCTCGGCCCCACACCGAGGAGCATGCAACCAGGCACGTCGCCACGCGCAGCCTGGGGGGAAAGAGAGGAGCATCTCACCCGTGTCCAGCAGCTCGTCAAAGTACTGGTAGTGGGAGAAGATGACGTGACCGCCCATGTCGAAGAGGAAGCCCTCGGGCGTGACATCGGTGCAGGCCAGGCCACCGGCTTCCTCGGCCTGGGGTGTGGGAATCGAGGCATCTTCGTCGGTATGGCACGGGAGTAGGCAGGCAATACAGCGGTGCAGGTCGATCACCCCCCCGCGATCCCATCACAACGATCTTGCGTCGTGAGGCCGGCGGGGGAGGGGAACGAGGTCCCCGCGGTGCACACCTCATCGACGAGAAGCCAGCTGGGATGCCCAAGCTGGTGCAGACGCGTTGCCGCACCCAGGCCCGTGGGTCCCGCTCCGACCACCAGAACTCCAATCTACGAAGGATAGCATATGAAAATCCGTTTTCAGAGTAGCCCTGGGAATTCCCATACTCGACCAGGCCCCGCAGATCTTCAGGGCAAGTTTCAAATACTCAACGAGTGAATGTTCACCTTTTCGATGCCATTGGCGGCCATGGTTGCCGATGTTAGCTGATCTGAGATGATTCAAATCGGGGAAGGCAATATTTTCAGTATTCTCGGCCTCAGCTCATACTTGCAGCAGCGGGCCTCAGTACTGGGAACACACCAACGCCTGGGTACCACCACCATCGCGGGTACCGCAGCGCTGCATGGCACGTAAACCGAACGGGCCTGGTACTTCGGGACCCCGCATGCAAGATTGAAGGAGGGAATCCCCAGCATATTTCAAATCACCCGCGATATGTATAACTAAGCTTGGCCACAGCAGCATCCGCGATGCAGAGGACCTGCAGCGCGGCCAGGAGCTTGCTGCAGTTCCGTGCCTGCACAGGTGCTACCTGGGTGAATGGCCTGACCGCCGTTTCCTCCTCATCTACGGTCAAAGGCGTGAGGGGTCTCGCGGAGGTAGCTGCCGAGGACACCAAAGAGTGAGATGAGGGGGGGGTGCTGCCAGGGTCTGGCATGGTCGCTGCGGCAGCCTAAAATCCAGACCACATGATGCTCCAACTCCCTCCAAGTCATATCGCACCCCACAGAACACCATGGCACAGTGGGCATAGCGTGGCGACCTTGCACGAGGCCCCAACCACCCGCTACTTTTCAATAGACCCCAGGGCTGTTCCCGAGGCACAGGCGGACTTCTATGAGGAGGCCTACCTTAAGAAGGAGGGTCTGACCCAGCCCAACTATGGCTGCACTGGGGTGCAGGTCAGGCTGGGGGTGCAGGCCTCGATTTGGGGGGAAGGGGGTGTGTTCCTGCAGCTGGTGGGTATATTTTGTGAAATGGTTTGGCTCGAGTGTGGGGCGTATGGAGTATGACATTTCACCCCCTGCGTATATCTGAATGGTAACATTGACACACAAGGTGGAGGCATGCGGAGGAGTGTTGCTGTGCATAAGGAATTCTGTGGGCCGCCCCAAGCTGCCTCCCGGACTGTCTAGCCTCGGGTTAGGTCGCATCGACCTCCCCCCTCTCCCCTGCTCACTGCCCCGCTTCCTTCCCCTCCCCAAATAGCGCGAGCTCGCCTCCAGTGGGCACAGCATGCTGCAGCACCGCCCGGTCATCAAGACGCTGCTGGAGCACGCGCAGTCCCTTCGCAAGCGCCGCATCAGCCTGCAGGGCTGGACCGGGTCGGGCAAGAGCGTGGCCCTCTACTCCTTGGTGGCCTGGGCGCGCGCCAACGACTGGGTCGCCCTGTACGTGCCCAGCGCCTTCAGCATGGTCCAAGGTGCGAGGCATGCGGGTGGCGCGGGGCTCTGCAGAGGCCTGGTTGGCTGTGGGCATGGCCGGTGCCCCCCACCACGGCCCTGCGCCCCCACCATTCCCGCCGCCAGCGCCTGCGAACCTCCAACCTCATTCCAAACGAGCAGGCGGGACCTTCAACCGCGGGGAGGACGGTCTGTTCGACATGCCGCAGGCGGCGCGCTACATCCTGCAGTCCATGCTACAGGCCCACGCCGGGGACCTGCAGGTGAGGCCGTGGGTGGTTGCGGTCACCATGCTACGATTTGTACGGGTGCTGTTTGCCTATGGTATGGTGTGAAGGCGCCCCCACTCCACTCCACCCCCCCCCCACCCACCCACTGACCTCGCCCCAGGCGCTCCGGACGGCGGACGGGGCGCAGAGCCTGGCGGAGCTGGCCGGAGCCGGGGTGAGGAACACCACCGCCGCCGACGTCGTGGCGGCGGCCATCCGGCTCAAGGATGAGCTGGCGGGGCAGACGCAGCGGCGTGTCCTGCTGGCCGTCGACGACTACAACGCCCTGTACCACCGCACCACCTACGGCGAGGCCGTCCACCCCTTGCACCGCCGCCAGCTCCAGCCGGACGAGCTGCGCCTGGTGAGGGCAGGGTGTGTGGAGAGTGTGTCAGGCATGGCCCTGCATGTTCGAGACCGAACTCAAAGCCATGTCCCCTCGACGCCCTCCAACACTCATCCACACCATCGCAGGTGCAAGGCTTCAGGCTGATGGAGCAGCCGGCCCCCGCCAATGGACTCACGGTGACCGCGCCGACGTGCGGCGGCCGGCTGCCGGCCGCCCTGGCCGTCCCGCTGCCCAGGAACAGCAGAGTGAGCGTCCCGCGCTACAATCTGCAGGAGGTTGCCACTGCCGCCGCCTTTTACTACGACACCGGCGTCATCACAGGTGTGGAGGCGATGGGTGAGCGCAGGGCGTGCGTCCACGAGCATGAGCGGCACCGAGACCCGCCCATGACACCTGGCGACGACGCCCACCCTCTTGCCCCCTCCCCCCCCTCCCGCACATGCAGATGTACCGACCGTCCCGATCGTGCAGCGAGCCTTTGCGCTGTCCAACGGCAATGCAAAAGAGCTGCGGCACCTCGCCGCTGTGCTGCTGGCGGAGAACGACCCTTTGGGTCACTCCCTGGGCCACAAGGCGGCGGATGCCGCCAAGCGGCGCATGCTGCGTGGGGAGGCATGAGGTTCGCTCCTGTCCAGGATGCCATGTTGGGTGACGGGGAGCGGTTTCGGGGGATGCATGCCTCCCTGCGGCACCCCGCACCCTGCCTATCGAGCAACAGAACAAACGGGTAATATAGCAGCAACTCTCGTCGAATTGGGGTACGGATGATACACCCTTGGCCACATGGTGGTGGAGCTGATGGGAGGCTCCTGCAGGCTGCTGTCCTGGTAAGAAATCTGCTACTGCATACCCGTAGCTTGCAGGTGTGGATCCTTTACAGCAATTCCTGACCGCAGGGCACGCGGTTGGAGCGCGTACAGGATGAGGTGGCGTACGAGGCCTCTCTGCCCTGAATGCTCTCTCAAAACCGGTCTGTTGCTTTACATGGGTCAGTCAAACTCCAGCCCTTGGGATTGGCGAGGGTGAGGTCTTGAAACGGAGCATACGGTGCACGTATGTATGCATTCAGCTTGGAGCACTGGTCCCTCAGTCCCAGCGCCACCTCACCGCTACTAAGAGTGTGGAAGGAAGGATGTTCGCAGTGGCCAACCAACGCTGAGACGGAGGAGATCATAATGCCCTTGGGAAATGCCCAGACAGCTGGGGCAATGTGGAATGGAAACCAGGGAAGTCGACCCCGGGAGTGAGTGCTGTGCATGATGCGCGGCTACACATTGCCCTCTGGGCAGCAACTCCGGAAAATGCAGGAAACGAGGCGAACTATAGCCTTGCATCCCTGAGAGTAGGGTTTGGGATTAATTGCTACTCAAGAAAGGCGGTCTCAAATTATAGTGGTCCGACACGGTTCACTCAGGCAGGGTCTCATGTCAGCACTACACTTGATATTGGCATGCAGAGACTCTAGCAACCAGATACTAAAAACTGTACCAGCTCGAAGCAATACACTCGCCATGCACTTCTGTCAAGAGCTTTATTGCAAATCTAGCATGAAATGACGTTGTGCTACAAACGTGCATTCAAGCGGATCGCTACACATTGAGAGTAAAGGGTGGCAAGGGGTAGGAGAGGCACATTGCGGAGGGATGGGAATTACTGCATGTAGATCTCCAGGCCCCAGGTGACTACCACATGATCGGCATCAGCCAAAGCTGCCCGTCAGAGTTCCCGCTGGAGAGACGTTTTTGTACTCGTCAGTGGCAGTGCAAACGACACTCCTGATTTCTGCAAGGTCCTTGATGTCGATGGCCTCATTGAAAGTCGCCGTACGGGCAGCAGGGTTGAGGTATGTGGTGAATGTCCCTAGCTCGTAGTTGTAGGAGTCTCGATAGGAGCAGGTGACTGAGGTTGCTGCAAACTTGGTTTCCACAGTCGCCATGAACAAGGAGTCTCCACCGCCGTCGACTCCGCTCCAAGTCCCACTTGGAGCTGGTAATTCAGCTGGCGAGGGGGATGGCCCGGGGCTTGGTGAGGGACTGGCGCTTGGAGAGGGGCTGGGTCCTGGCGGGGTCGGACTGGTTTCAGGCGAGGTGCTTGGGCTGGCAGCCTCGAGGCACTGGACTCCAACAATGACGCCTGCGCCTGCTACCCTGTTTGCATCCAAAGCCCCGGGTGTGCGCCTAATACAACCTGCCTCGGCCTGTGTGCGGGATTGCCGGACAAGGCGTGTGGTGGGTGTGAGTGTTGCGAAGCCGCGCAATCTCTTTGCCCTGTATGTTGATACCCCCCAACAATGAGGGGCAGAGCCATCCCCAGCACTCACTCACCGTGGCCTTTGTGCTGTCGCTGGCGGCGGAACCGGTGGCACGAGCCTCGGCAGCCCCTGGACGGGAGGTGGTGGCAGAGACCTGTGCGAGGGTGCTTGCAGACCTGCCCGAGTCACTGGAGCTTCCTGCAAAGCCTCCCGAGGAGGAGGCGGGCAGCACCCCATCGCTCGAGGCCTGCATGATGGGGGTTTGCATGGTGTGCTATCGGGAGTCGCTGTGAGTTGGCAGCATGCTTTGGTACTGAGGTATCCCATCCCCACTGCACCCCCACAGAACCTGCCTGCCCGCTGCCGACTCCTTTCACGGAAGAGCCCTCAAGCGAGCTTATCGCCTGGACGGTCGACGCAGCACTGGCTCCAATACCCGAAGCCGACCCAGATGCCACCCCTGAGGCGGACGTCAAGGACCTGAGGGGTAACAAGGAAGAAACCCTTGATCATGGGATGTTGTTGGGCAGGGGGGTCGGAGCACTCGAGCGGATTTTGTCGGGATGACGTTGCTACACCATTCGCTGCGTGCATGACCGAAATGTTGCGTGTGGAGCCTTCCAACCCTTCAAAATGTCCATGTATACACCTTGACTCCGCCGTGGTGAAGAGGGCGAGTGCAAAGATGAGCACCGTCGCGCATGCGCCGTTGCTCAGCTGTACACGCATTCTTGCAAGGTTCCTGGACCTGACACCCTACAGTTGCACGAATAGGGAGTAGCTGAACCCGTGATAGCTACGATGTGATGATCTACTTGATTAAAGCAGCTTATGAGGAGCTCCGAGCTATGCTCGGCGGCTTTCAGTGATCGAGTCATTGTCCGGACGGACCCCGCCGAGGTGGCCATCGATTCGACCAACATGATTGCCCACGACAATCTTTATGAGAGGATAGGCTCCATTCCTGCGCCAAGCGCCTATGACACAAGTCATACTTGTTCCTGTTGCATGCAGCCCATAGGGGTGTTGGCATGGTCGGCACGAATCGAGTGTGGGATCGGTCCGGCCGAGACTCGGTTGTCGACGTATGCGATTGCCCGCTGTAACAAGACCGGGATGGGCTGAGGTGGCGTACGAGACTCTCTGCACTGAGTGCTCTCTCAAAACCGGTATGTGGGCTGGAATGGCTCACTTAATTTGCAGCCACTTGGAGTTGCGAGCATGATGAGGTACAACCGAGAAGAGAGTGCTTGTGGATACACCCTAGCCTGGGCCAGACGCCCCTCAGTCCCGGAGGCCACGTATCCGGCCCCCAAAGCACAAGTGGACGGATGTGTCCACAGAAGCTACTCGATTCCAGGCCGTAGAAGGGCACGCTGCACATGGTAATCCGCCAAGGCAGCTGGTGTGGTGCGGCTGAGACTCGAGGAAATCAACCCAGGGAGCGAGTGCTGTGCATGATTCGCAAAGCATGTGAATCTTTCCTGTCGGTCCATGCATTCCCTCAAGCAGGCGTTGCATATTCTCCAAAGCAGCATGGCATTCTTGCAGTACTAGTCACTTGTTGCCATGAGCTCCAAGCATCTTGGTATAGGCGACACGGACGTGTATGGTTGAGCCTACATCTCGTGCATGTTCGAGGTAGGATTCCATGTCGGGGTTTGACATGTCGGGCCCTGTCCGCCTTGTCGGTAGACATGATGCAGGACACCCCACCTCGCAGGAATTCCGATTTGGAGCTCCTTCTTCAGAGAAGAACGGCCCCCGCTCAGAAGCGCCAGGCCCCCCTGAGGCCTCACGGAATCAGGGCTCCAGCGGCAAGCGAGGTCGATCCGAAGGCGATGACGGGCATCCACCCCTGGCTCTGGGTGTCCCCGAGCTCCTGCCCCCTCACCCGCTGCGCCTGATCATCATTGGGCACAACCCCAGCGCCCATGCATGGCGGACGGGCGAGTCAGGGTGACCGCAAAGGTGGTGGGCACCTGTGATCTGCTCAGCAGCTAATACCCCTCATCATAGATTGCAATCCTGTACAATGGCCTGAGGTTTTCCGTCATCTTTCCCTGATCAAAGGTCACTACTACTCGAATCCCAACAACTGGATGTGGAGGATCCTGCGTGAGACTGGCATCGCCCCCGAGACGGTCAGGTGCTGCGAAGTTGTGATCAACATGTCTTTACCTCTGCAAGGACTCGTACTCACTCACAAGGAACGTGAATATGCAGTCAGTGACAACCAAAGAATTCCTCCTTGCCTCTCCCTGCAGGGGGGCACAGGACGACCGCCTGATGCCTGCCCTGGCGGGGGTGGGCTTTGCGGACGTCGGCTCCGGCATCTCGGGCACCCGGTCGGCCGCATTCTCCTCCGCCACACTGGCGACCTGGCGCCTGCCCTTCTTCCTGCGCCTGGAGGCCCACGTCTCGGCCGCCGCCGCCGCCTGCACGGGCGGCTGCGCCAGCTGCGCCGCTCCCCGGCTGGTGGCCTTCTCCGGCGTGCGCCACTTCCGGGAGCTGTTTCCCGAAAAGGCGCGGTGCCCCGCCTTGCGCGCTGCCGCTCACAAAGACGGCCCCCCCAATCAGTGCGATGAAGAGGCCAGCAGCTGCCCGGAAAATGGCGGGCTGGACGGCGGCGCCACGGCGCCCCGTCGCATCCGCTTGACCCCCCGCTGCCCTGCCACCATTCGGCCCGGCCGCCAGTGGGTGCTGCCCGCCGGCTGGCCCCTCCCCCCCGCGCGCTGCGAGGTGTGGGTCATGCCCAGCACCAGCGGGGCCGCCGCCATGACGCGGGAGGAAAGGGTGTCGCCCTGGCGGACCCTGGCGGCCAGGCTGCAGGCGGAGGGGCCCTGCGCGGCCGTGCCAGGCGCGTGCGCCTGTGTATCGACCTGAATCGTGACGCACTACGTTGTCAGCGGCCGCCGATACGCTTGCTGATTTTGCATCGGTTGCCACTTCTCTGGAAAGGCCCACAGGAAGCCCCCGTGAAGTCTTCTGGCCCGTCCTGATGCGTCCCTCAACCCTGGACATCCCCAGCCCGGCATCCCTCAGCACCCAGATGCCCGCCACCCCTTGCCCGACCTCCTTGCGCTGTGTGTCCACATCCATGCAGAATCGGGGGGGGAGCAGGGATGAGGGAAGGGGGAACAACCATCCAACAGGACCCTGCACTCCCCGCGGGTAGCCTGGCCGGCGGAGGTGCTCCAGGCCCCACCGGCCACCCCCCTTTGGATATGTTAAGGGGGCACCAGTCCATCCTGAGCACGGTTCTTGCACCCACCCTCTTCCCATCAACTCCTACCCCTCCCGCCGCCTACCTCCCGCCGCTCAGGCCAGGACGGCCTGGCTGCGGAACTCGGTGCGCGCCGCGCCCGCGCCGACGCCCGTGGAGTCGTCGTCGCCGCCGACGGAGATGTCGACGGAGGGCCGGAGGGCGGCGCAGGTCTCCTGCGCCTTGTGCACGTCGGCGTGCTTGAAGGCGGCCAGCGCCTCGGCGTCCGCGGGCGTGCCCTTGTCCACGGCCACGTATGCCTGCTGGGTGAGGATGTAGTCAAAGCGTGGGGCCCACTTGCGCGAGCCCAGGCGCGCGGTGTAGGAGCAGTTGTCCACCATGAAGGCCACACCGCGTGCGTGCATGTAAGGGTTGAGCGAGTCCACCGCCTCGATGATGGACTCGTTGCAGATCTCGGAGAAGGGGTGGCCCGCGTCCTGCAGCGTCTGCACCGTGGCCATCATGGTGGCGATGTACACGCCCGCGGTGAAGGGGTTGAGGGGGACCTCCAGCGACGCGCGGCGCGCGCGCACGGCGGCGCCCACGCGCCACATGTGCGTCTCGTCGATCTTGCCCATGGGGTAGCGGTCGAAGCGCGACACCGCGTTCACCACCGACTTGATCTCGTTGCCGCAGGCCACGTCGTCGTAGATCTCGCGGCACACGTCGTTGGCGGGGCCGATGGCCGCCGAGTAGGCCGCATCGAAGGTCGCCTTGCCCTCCGCGTCCAGCGCCTCGTACACTCCCAGCATGCCGGAGCGGGAGATGATCTGGGTGATGGGCCCGGTGATGCACTCCACGCTGTTCAGGTACGCGTCCTCATCAGACATGCCCTGCGCCACGTAGCGCCGGAACAGGGACTCCACCACGCCGTGCACGCCGCCCAGGATGACGCAGCGCTCGCCGTAGATGTCGCTGCGGTACTCCGACTCCAGCGTGGTGCAGAAGGCGAAGGGCGCGCCCGTGGCGATGGCCCAGCCCACCGCCACGTCGGCCGCGCGGCCCGAGGCGTCCTGATGCACGGCGAAGGAGGCGTTGATGCCAGCGCCGTTGACCGTCTTGCCCTGCTCGTACAGGCGGCGCACGGAGGGGCCCATGCCCTTGGGCGCCATCAGCACCACGTCGATGTCCGGGCGGAAGTCGGCGCCGTCGTTCTGCATGACGCCCAGCAGGAATCCGTGGCTCAGGCCCAGCGTCGCGCCGGGCTTCATGGCCGCCAGGATGCGCGGGTAGAGCTTGGCCTGGGCCGCGTCGGAGATGAGCAGGATGACAAAGTCGGAGGAGGAGATGACGTCGAAGACCTCGCCCAGCGTGCCGGCCTCCTCGGTGAAGCCCACGGCGCGGGCCTCGGACTCGGAGGGGGAGCCCTTGCGCAGGCCGATGACCACCTGGCGGGGAGGGAGGCGAGGGGGGGGTTGGAGGTTGGGTTGGGTGAGTGTGTGGCGGTGTGCAGGGGGATGCTGGAGTGGGGCAGGGGCCCTGTGAATGGCGGGAAAGCCCTGCCACTGCATGTAGATGGCAGGTCAGAGGCATGCGCGACCCTCCTATAACCGCCATAATGGGAATAGCATGGGGTCTGGCGTTCTCAGGCCCCCCAAAGTTTCGCACAACAAACATGCAACTGCCATACACATCCCAACACACAAGAACACTGCACACCTTGGTGTCCATGCCGGCCTCAGCCAGGGACTCCTTCAGGTTCTGGGCCTGGGCGGGGGCCTGGGAGCCCCACCCGATCACGCCAATCTGCTTGATGCCGGCAAAGGCCTCGGGCAGCTTGGAGAACTTGTCGCGGCCGCCCCTGGAACGAGCGGGGTCGAATGTAGGTGTGGAAGGAACTTGGCAGGGGCAGGGGCCACATCAGCAGGATGGCAAGGCCACCCGGTGCATGCATGCTGGAGCAACCACGTCCCAATTTGCATACCAGCTCAGCGAATTTATCGACCTTCGCAATGCCCTCGATCACGCGCATGGGCAGTTGGCACAGCATCGTACCTGTAAATGTACTCCTCGCTCCCGGCGAAGGTCAGCAACTCCTTCTCGAACACCTTGGTGTTGTAGTCATACTTGACAGCGTTCTGCACGGTGAGGGAGCGCCTGCCGCGGGTAGACCTCAGGGAGGCGGGCCGGGTCAGGGGGCCCAGGCGAGGGGCGACAATGCTGGTGGTGGGGGCACACCGGGCGAAAGCAGCGCAAGGCGCCCGTGCGGCGGCAGAGGTGGCAGCCATGGTTGCTTGGGTGCGATGTGCGGCCTGGAAAATGTTTTAAAAGGGTTATTCGGACCGGCAGGATCGACATGGGTCCCTGGCCCGCATACGACTCGTCACCCATGACTTTCGGCACGTGCACGGGATGGGATACTGCTGCTCGGCGGCCAGCGCGGTACCCCGGAATTCCGATGTGGCCAACGCAGGCATAGCTAAAGGTCGAAGCCCTCAGGTTGGTCATGCATACTTCCTGTTGTTTAAAAAATATGGAACCAATAGGAACCCAGGATGGGACGTGAGATGGAGCCCCAGGCCAAAAGGGCGAAGGCCGACGGCGCGGCACTTCTGCCGGGCCTCACAGCCTGGCTGGACCGGGAGGGGGTGTGGTGGGACGACGAGGCCATGCAGATCAAGGAGTCAAAATCTCCGAACGGCAGCTCCTTATCCATCCACTCGCGGCGGCCCCTTCCGGCCGGCCACCACCTCTGCACCATCCCCAAGGACGCCTGCCTGAGTGTGCGCAATGCCAGCTGCTCCGACATCATCATGGAGGAGAATATGTGCTCTGGTCTGGGCCTGGTGATGGCGGTCATGCACGAGCGCCTCCTGGGGCCCAAGTCTCGGTGGTGAGCTGTGAGCACCTCTGCATGAAGGTGGAGGGCGTGCTCTGGCTGCTGAGGCTACACGCATGTCTGCCTGTACCTTGCTGACGTGATGACTTCCCTCCTCCACCCCTGCGTCAGAAGGCATGGCTACTTCTGCTCGTTGCCTGAGCGCGAGTACCTGCCGGTGTTCTGGGGCCCGGAGGAACTGGCCCTCTTGCAGGGCACTGAACTGGGAGATGCCATCCACGACGAGCTGGACTGTGTCCGGTCAGACTACACAGATCAGATCGAGCCCCTGATTGCCAAGCATGGGCTGGAGGGCATGAACTACTCCTTCCCTGCCTTCCAGGCGGCTGCATCCTTGGTGGCCTCCAGGGCGTTCAAGGTGGACGACGCCGTAGGTGGGTTTGGCGCCCTGGTCTTTCCCTCTCCTTGATGTACCTTGCCCGCCCATGTCCCGGGGGAGTGATGAGCAACAACACCAAATCACCATCTTTCACATGAGCGCCTCGAGCGCGTGATTAGAAACCGTGTCCAATGCCTGACCCCCGAGGGACCCGCATTTGCGTGCCCCGGCCCGCGAGCCTGTCCCGCGCGGCTCCATTCACCGCACCCGCCTCTGCTTTACTCAGGCCCGTCCGACCCCCCACCTGGCAGGCGACGCCATGGTCCCGCTGGCAGACGTGTTCAACCACAAGGCGTCAGTGGTGGCCCTGTCGGACCAGTATGCTGTGTACGAGGGCGGGGAGGGGGAGGACAGCTCCGACGACAGCGACTCTGATGCAGACGAGGAGGAGGTGCAGGAGGGGGAGGACACGGAGGACGCCGAGGGTGACGAAGAGGGCGCGGCGAGTGGGAGCGAGGCGGCTTCCGAGAGCCTGGGCAGCTCCGAAGCCAGCGGCTCCGGCGGGGAGGGGAGCGGCTCGCCGGGCGCCTCCCCCGGCGCCGGCACGATGCTGACCTCCCAGCTCGTGCCCCCCAGCTTCCTGGCGAACGCCGAGCCGGAGCTGCACGGCCTGCGCTCCGCCAACGGGCTGTCCCTGGCCCTGGAGATCTGCATCGTGGACGATGAGGAGGGGGCCGCGCTGAGGATCCTCACCGCCAGCCCCATCGGAGAGGGGCGCGAAGTGCACAACACCTACGGCGAGCTGGGGAACCGGGACCTGCTGGAGAAGTACGGCTTCACCCTGCCCGAGAACCCGCACGACAGCGTGACCCTGGAGCTGGAGGCCCTGTGGGCCTGGGGTGCGGCGCGGCACGGCGCGCGAGAGTGGGAGGCGCGCCGCGCTTTCTTGGACGCCAACACGCCCTGGCTGCGCCGTAAGCGGTACGCGGCCGTCTTGGTGAGTGAGGTTGAGTGGGGGTTCAGGGTCTACGAGTGGCGAGCGAGTTTGGCAGGGGGATCCCGCTGGGAGGTCTGCAGAGCGGGGTGGCGTAAGCACCAGCTCCCTAAGTACACATCCCCGGCATCCATTGACCAGCCTGTCCCCGCCTCCGTCTCCTGACAGGTGCACCCCAATGGACACATGCCGGCCTGGTGCATCGCGGCCGTATGGCTGACGGCCGCGCAGCGGGACCCTGCGCTCCCCATGTGGGAGGACGCCAAGGCTGCGCTGGGACCAGAGGTCCACGAGGCTCTACTTGCCGACCCCAGCGCCACCATGAGCGTGCTGGAGGGCGCGCTGCGAGAGGCCGCGCCGCCGGATTTTGCGGAGGCGTTGCGGGCCCTGGCCGAGCCGAAGCTGCAGCGAGTTCTGGCAGGTTCTCCAGCGACTGACAACCTCGACAGCGAGGTGGCTGACTTCGAGGGGGGTCGCCTGTCAGACCGGAAGACGGCGCGTCTCACCTCTGGCCAGCTGAGGGCCAGCGAGCTGGCCATCCTGCGACCCCTTGTACAAACCCAACTTCAGTGACGCTCCCACGTGATACCTGACGCAAGCTGGAATGCAGCTTGGCAATTTTGATATAAGTGCACAAGGACGGCGATGCCTCGTGCTGTCAGGAGGGGAGCCCGGGGCTCGGGGAACTGGGGTTGTTTCACGCGGACCTCCGGAAGCTCCGGAGGCTTGGCCGTGCCTAGCTACGGACGCCTTGCCCTCGAGACTGGGCCACGGCCCTCGTGGTCATTGTCCTCAGGGAATATCACGAAACAATAGCTTCAGCGCTCGTTGCTCCATTCATCACCCACACAGACCAGTTGACGCCGAGGGAACCAACTCCGGATTGTCCGTGCCATGTTCGCACGGAAGTTCGAATGCAGAAAGTCCCGGAAGGGGCCTCAAGCGTCTGACTGAGCAATGTCCTCTGTGGGGGCGCCTCCTCGATCATGCATTGTGCATGTATAGGATTTCAGAGCGCCTGGATGCCAACGTCTCGTGGTTTCGCTCGCTCTCTCACTCCTGTCCATCCGATTACTAGTGCCTGCGAGTCCGGGCTCTTCCAGTCACAAGTGATTGGCTGGACAGCGAGATTCCTGCGAGGGGCAATAACCCACATACAGACTGACACTTTCGAATGATATCTGGCACCATGCGTGGGCTTTTGGCACCTTTGGCCCTGCTCTGGGGTCTCGGCCTCGTGCTAAACTTGTCGTCCGCGCCGCAGGTGGGTGTTCCGTCGAATGGGTCCCCCCGTGTTTGGATGCCGGACACACCCCCGTGGGTTGTGCTCCGCGGCTTCAAATGTACACAGTTACGCCATTTATGGAGTAAGTCATGCAAATGCCTGTCTCCCAACCGTTGGCTCTGCCCCAGGCCGAGAAATGCGGTTGGTGTCACGCACGCCCCTTCTCCCCTGCCCCACCGCAGGTCCGGGCCGTCCGGCCCCTGGTCCACACCACCCTGGCGCCCTCGCCCCCGCCCACCGCCATCCTCCCCTCCTTCAACCCCACATCCATCCCTCAAGCCACACGTGTGCTTTACAAGGTCCGGCCCAGCGAGGGCATGGTGGCGGTGGCCAGCACAGCGACTGCGGTGGAGTATGCCGTCGCGGCCGCCGGGCCGGGGGAGAGCCTGAAGGCCCTGGCCCAGAACCTGAGCGCCCTGGCCACCACCGAGTGGGTCGCGCTGGACGAGGTCCTGCACGTGCACGCCCTCAGGGTGGACTCCGTCACCCCTGACGACCCCGACTTCCCCGAGCAGTGGGGGCTGGAGGCCGTGCATGCACCCGAGGCCTGGGCCACCGCCACAGGCGCCCCCACCCGCGCGGCGGCCGTCACCGTCTGCATCGTGGACTCAGGCATCGACTACGAGTGAGTGATGTGTCGTGGGAAATGGGTGAGGGGGGTGGGGTATGGGATGGGTTCCCGCCCTGGCAATAGATGCACTCACTCATGCAGGTGAGGCGAAGGTCCGAACGAGGCCTTTGTGCGTTGCCTCTGCACCTGCTGCTCGACCCAGCCTGCCTCCCATGCCGCAGAATCCCGCAAACTCTGCGCCTCTGCCCATGTCTAGTGGCGTTTCCTCATCCACCGTCATTCACTCTCATACTCACCCCCAGTTCACACCCCCACCGTCATTCACTCTCATACTCACCCCCAGTTCACACCCCCCCGCCCCCCCCCTTCCCACACCTACAGCCACGAGGACCTGGCGGCCAACATGGCGGCCGCGGTGGGCGTGAGCATGCTGCCCGGCAGCCCCGGCCCCATGGACGAGCTGGGGCACGGCAGCCACGTGGCGGGCATCGTGGGCGCGGCAGGGTCCAACGCCCTCCTCGTCTCCGGCGTGGTCTGGGGCAACGTCGACCTCCTGGCCTGCCGCTTCATCGACGGCGACGGGCTGGGCCGCACCTCCGCCGCCGTGGACTGCGTCAACTACTGCCTGGCCCAGGGGGCGCGCGTGATCCAGGCCTCCTGGGGCGGCGCCGCCGCGCCCAACGCCGCCATGCAGGCCGCCATGGAGGCCGCGGAGGCCGCCGACGCGCTGATCGTGGTGTCGGCAGGGAACGATGACCGCGACCTGGACGCCGAGCCGCAGTACCCCGCCAGCTATGCCGCGGAGCGCGCCAACGTCCTGGCGGTGGCAGCCGTGGGGCGTGCCGGCGCGCTCTCCTCCTTCTCCAACCGTGGCGCGGGCACCGTGGCGCTGGCGGCGCCGGGCGAGGCCATCCTCAGCACGCTTCCGGGGAACGCCACGGGCGTACTCAGCGGGACATCCATGGCCGCCCCCTTTGTCTCCGGCGCCGCCGCCCTGGCCCTCAGCGTGGCCGGGCCCGGCGCGCTCCCCGCCCCGGCCCTCAAGCGCCTGCTGTTGGAAAGCGCGGAGCCCACGGCCCAGCTCCGGGGTAAGGTGGGGGCTGGGCTGCTGCGCCTGGACCGGGTGGTCGCTGCCGCCGCCGCCCTGGCAGCCGCACCCACCACGGCACCCTGAGCGTGGACACCCAGGATCAAGGGGTCACTCCGCCACCCGAAGCCGTCGACCGGGGAGGGGACGGATCTCCCCTCCCCCCAACCCGGTTCCAAACAACCATCTTCCTGTCCCAGCAATCATCTCGCGCCGCCTCAGACCATGCCAGCAGGCCCCCCTGTTCCTTGCACATAGCCCTGCACACCGCTTCTGAGCGCCGCAAGTCGCTCCAGCACTCCTTCAGGAACTCAAAGCACTTTCTTCCTCTCCGTGATAGAGCGAATCAGACCATGTTCACATACTGCGACCCCTACTGCTTCCCTGCCAACTGTGTACGACTGTACTGCTAGACTGCCCTCCACCAATCAATGTATAAGCCCACTGTGCACTGCCCACACCCCCTGCACACCAGGCCGCCGCCCCCTCCTGGTGTGGGAGGGGGCGGCGGCGCTGCCGCCTCGTGGCCCTCCAAGCCGTGCCATGTACCTTGCCCTTCCAGGAAGATGTTTGTACATTGCAAGACGTCTGCTTGGGCAGTGGGACAGGGCGGGGGCCGCAGAGGCAGGCAGGGGTGCCGGCCCTGCGCGAGGCCGGCGCAGGGCAGTCGCCGTGAGTGCAGGACCGCAGGGGCGGGGCCGCCGCCTCTTCGCCGGCATGCTGCCCTGCGCCCCAGCGCGACGCCGTGCCTCCGCGCATCGACACGCGCTGCCCGCTCGGGGTCACTCGCCCACCACGCCCGTGGCTGCGGCGGCCGCGACGGCGGCCGCCTGGTAGCTGCGCTGCACCGCCTGCATCTGCCGCAGCACCGCGCCCTGCAGCGCCCCGCCCGACAGCCCTCGCACCATGTGCGCCTCCAGGCCCATGCGCAGCGCGACCTGGCTGGGAAGCAGGGGCCGCGGCCAGAAGCCGCACACGCCGCGGTGCGAGGGGTAGAGCCGGCGGTGGCAGTCCCCGCTGCAGAATGGCGTCGCCTGCCACGGGAGATTTTTCGGGGGAACTGTGCTTGGGCAACGGGCGATATCTTGGAAGGAGCCGTGACAAAGGCACCGCTCTGGGCCCTCCAGGCCCTCCTGCAGCCCGCAGGAGGCTGGAGCCCTCGTGGTGTCAGAAAGGGGGTTTCCCACGCCATCTCAGGCGCCATGCATTGCGCCTGTCAGGGCCGCCCAGCCGACCTCATCTCGACTCCCCCCCCCCAGGCCCAAGCCATGTCGAACTCCTCCTACCCCTCCACCCCCCCACCTTGCAGCCGGGGCACCAGATGATCTGCCGCCGCGCCTCGGAGACGGCGGTGGAGCACGAGGCACAGCGGTAGTACAGCGGCCCGCCGTCCAGCCCGATCTTGGCGGCGGCCTCAATCTCCAGCTGCGGCCTCCCGTCCATGCTCGCTGCGCCAGGGGGGAGTTTGGGGGGCGCCGGTGGTGAGGCCAGACTCCCGTGAAATCCATGAGTGGCAGGGCAGGGTGCGATGCACCTGCTTGGCGCTCAGGACACCAGACTGTGCGATTCCCACCCTCCGACCTGCCCGTCTCGACCTCCTCCCGCCTCCACAACAGACCCACGTGTTCCCTCCCACACTCCCCCCACCCCCTACACAAGCCCCCACACTGCCACCCACTCTGGATGTAGTGGTCCACCGCGGCGTTGAAGAGGTCCGCCCGTCGCTGCGACTCCTCCAGCGTCAGCGTGTCGGCCTGGTAGTGCCCGTCCGGCAGGAAGTCGGCATGGCCCAGGGCGTGGAGGAAGGCCGGGTCCAGCAGGCCCACCTCAGCCAGCGTGGCCGCCAGCGCACGCAGTGGGCGCTGCGCCGCCGCGGCCTGCGCGGCCGCCGCCGCCTGCTGCAGCGCCATCTGCTGCAGCGCAGCGTGCAGGGACAGCTGGCTCGACCCGGGGCCCCCGGCAGTCGCCGCCGCCGGGGACGCATGCGCGCCGCCCCCGTTGGCCAGCGCCGGGACGGGGGCCGCCTGGCCCCCGCGCACGGCTGCTCCCGGCGATCCGCCCGCGCCGCGCAAGTCTGCGGCGGCGGGGGAGGCCGGCACCCCGTTGATGCCCAGGCCGCCGTTGGAGCTGCTGCTGCCACGCAGCGCGCCCGCCTCGGCGCCGGATAGGCGCAGGTCGGGCAGGCCGGGGGGTGGCAGCGAGGTGGCCAGGCGCTGCCGCGCCGCCGCCGCCGCCGCCGCCGCCGCCGTCCGCACCCTGTTTCCTGCTAGTGGAGACGGTGCAGCAGGAGGCGTCCAGGAGCGGCAAACCTCGACTGACGGTCATCAAGGGCCGTCTCAGCGAGACAGCAGGTGAGGGCTGAGGGAATATTGGGGGGGGGGGTGGGGG